TTTTATCTATGATGTTCCAAACATTATTTTTACTCATTTCAGAGTAAAATTGATACCACATGACTCAAAACGACATCTAATTATTTTAAACATATAGCCGACATTTCTATTCATTTAATGTTCGTTTCGGATCATTCACGTCCGTAACCACGTGAAAGTTTAGGGATGAAAGTTCTTATTACATTTTGACATTGCGATCGACACATTTGTTCAAATCATAGTGAGTCAATTCATAATCCGCTATAAAGCCACACTTCACTTTGACAAAAAGGAAAAATATAAGTAATAAATATAGTATCCAAAATATAGCACGTGTAGTTGTTTAATTTATACGACTCACGTATGATGTTTCAAAGCATGTTTCACTAGTTTTGGAATGAAATCAACACTCCATGACCCAAAACGGCATCTAGTCATTTTAAACACTGGGTTGCTGTTTAGGGTTTATGTTTTAGGGTATAGGGTTTATGTTTTAAAATATAGGGTTTACAAAATAGAAAAATATGTAGTTATTCAATATGTAAAAGTCATATATGATGTTCGAAACACTATTTTATTAGTTTTTGAGTGAAATTCATACCCCTTGAGGCCAAATGGCATATGATCATTTTAAATGGAAGGTTGCCGTTTAAGGTTTGGTTTTAGGGTATAGGATTTAGAAATCAGAAAAACATGTAATTGTTCAACGTGTACAAGTCTATATGATGTTCAAAACACTATTTTACTAGTTTTTGAGTGAATTTGAGGCCCCTAGACCAAAACGGCATCTTATCATTTTACACGTAAAAGTGCCATTTAAGGGATAGAGTATACAAAAATATAGCTTGTGTAATTGTTCAATATGATCAAGTGAAATTGAGATCCTGTTACCCAATACCACCTGTTATTCCAATACTTGTTTCTTAGTGAGATTGAGGCCTCGTGACCTAAAATAGCATGTTGTCATTTTAAATGTATAACTGTCGTTTTTCAGACTGGGTAAATTTGCGTAGTTAATAATACAATTTGTTTTTCCATTGCATAAATATATAAGCTGTCATAAAAACTGCAACTCTATTTCAAACCTACTACTTAATGTTTGAATAAAACATTCATTCAATGGAAAAGATTGCAAAATTTCATAACTACATTAGTCAACATCCATACACTTGTTCCGTAATCAATAATAAAAATCAATACTAACTAAACAAAATCAGTATTCATGTACTTGTTTTCCAACTAAATCGTACAAAACGCTCCTATCTAAACAAAATTAGCATCTAAGTCCTATATCCTTCGACTACATAAAATTGAAAAATATACAAAGAAAACAGTTATGTTAACTCGGCCATCAAATGCGAAATATATTCCACCAAAATACATTATCATAGATATGGTGGTCAAACTGTAAATATAAATGAAAATTTTCATTTATATGCTTATTGTTTCAATCACTTCTGCATTCCCAAAACTAAAATTTGAGGTGAGAAAATACTCTTAAAAATAGCAACACTAGTATAGATAAGATAAGATGAAGAAAAATAATTCTAAAACAACACATACAAGTTATTCCCGTTTAAATTTTGCACGAGCTACTACTAAAGCACCTAACACCGAATACTTCTAGTCATCAGAATATAACAATTGCAAGAGATAACTGTCAACTACCTATTGACTAAATGCATACTTCTGCAGAAGTAAATTCTCAAATAAGGACAAAAGAGAGAAAAATGACCATGTAGATGTTCTCAAATCAAATGTCAAAATTAGCATGTACCTTGTTTTTAGGAAATTAAGCTAATGCTTGTGCTATTAAATACGAACCCTTGAAAGGGTTTAGTGAATGAATGAATCAAAATTTCAAAATGCTCTTGTTTCATAACAGCAAAAGTAAACAACTAATCAAAACACTACCATCTAAACAAAATTAGCATCTAAGTCCAATATCATCTGATCACATAAAATTGAAAAATATACAAAGAAAATAATTATTCAATCTTATTATCGGATATAAGTTTTACGTCTAATCGGCCGACAAAAGTTCTATAAAGTTAATAATGTATAGTCCACAATCTCATCGGTTGACAAGAGATAACTGCCAGCTACCTACTGACGCGTCCGTTGCTTATCTTTGCTCATCATTCAATTGTGTAGCCAAAAGCTTTTCTCCCCCAAACATAATCTAACATTTCTTAATTATAGTAAGTCTTTGAAGGGAGCGTATTTTTGAAGGTCTACCTTTAATTATATCTTCAGCGGGAATCACAAACTCAAATGAGTGTTCCATTTCTACATTAAAGGAATCACATACTAAAATGAATGTTCCATTTCTACAATAAAAAAACACAAAATGATCATGTTAATTAATCAATGAATAAATAAGAAAAATTTAGAGTAATGTTAAATGATACGTAGTACAATTCATTTTCAAAAAAAAAAAAAAAAAAAAATAGGGGACATTTTCAAAATTACATAAACAACAGGATGCCATTTTCAAAACTAGATAAACTTCATGGTGCCATGCTGAAAAATTCAACAACTAACATATCAAATATCAGAATCTCAACCAAGTAAATGCAATTTACATCATGGAAAAACATGCAAAACATTACCATATATTAGTTACAGTAAAAAATCACGATCTTTTTATTATTCTACCATGTTCCATTTGATGCAAATTGCAAAATAGTACCAATTTGCTAAGACTTTAATGATATGATAGAATATCCATTTCATTACACTAATATTGCTACTAACATGACATTTAAATATTTTCAACAAGCTAATACTTAAATATCTAATTTTTTATAGCACTTTATATTAATTGCCATCATTGTTTCCACTTATCAACTCAACACTAATTAGAATAAAAAAGAATCATATGTTGCTGGATTTTTATTTTTTTTTTTAAGTCAAGAAGCAAAAATATCTCAAACAATAAGTAGAGCATAAGAATAAGACAATTGTGGTATTTCATTTTCTGGGAAAAAAATAATAATTTGCTTGTTGCCATAATTTCATCACGTAATTTCTTTATAGGAACAAACTTAGGTTTGGTGAAAATGAATAATCTTGTGCAGCGTCAAACATGATTAAGTTATATTTACAACAAATGTAGACATAAATCAAATTCAAAATCACCTACATTATTTACTTATAAGCCCATATGTATATGTTCATTATCTCACACTTAGAACACTCTACTACATATTTTTTTTTTCAATTTGCTTATATATCTACATCATGAAGAATAAACAGAGAAATATCATTTTTTCAAATTTGTAGTTGCAAGAAGAAAGTTGAATTGTTAAGTATTTTTCATGTAATTCAAAGCAATAATGAAAAATATGAAGAGAAAATTGAGTTCCAAAAGTTAATCACAACATACAAAAAGAGAATAAATTTAAAGGTCTAAAAAAGCCTACCTTATTAGTATAATTCTTCCTGGCACAAATTTCTATAAATTATTATTATTATTATTATTATTATTATTATTATTATTATTATTATTATTGCATAAAATCGTATTAAAAATTAAAAATTGAAGAATCATTCATACCTGAGGATAGCCCACGATGAAATGGGATCTTAGAAGTGGTTATTCACATATGGGTGCTTTTTTTTTGCGAGTTTCGATTTTGAGAAAATTGATGAAACCTTCATACCAAATTCCTCATTTCACTCAAGAAGACGAAGGAAATCGATTTTGAATGTAGAAAGATCTGGAGATAAAGAAGCCATGAAGAAAAAATAAGGGGGGTTGGGGATTGTGAAGAGAGAAGAAAGATGATAGATTCAGGATTCTGAAATTCAATTGATTTGAGAAAAGAAAATGGGGAATTAAGTTTTTTAGTAATGCTGAATAAGGATGTTTTAGGTAGTTTATAAATTATGAATTAATATATTTATTTTAAAAACATTATTCTGGTCAAAAAACTAAATTCCCAAATAAAAATGGGGGGCACCATGTGTACATTATGGACACCATTATGGTGTCTATAATGTACACGAAGAATTATTCTTATAACATAGGCTATTTGACCCAATTACCACAACTTATTATGTAGAGGTCAGGCCCAACCTCTTCTAACTTGTACTTTTATTTATATTAATAAAAACTCTCTCCAAGAGTGGATTTAAATAAAAAAAGGAACGGGGTTTCATTTAAGTGTTCTGAGTTGTATAATGTTTTGTCTTGGCAGTGAAATGGGTTAATTATATGAATGGTCACTGAATTTTATTCTATATTATTACTTAATTATTGAACTTAAAAATGTAATTTAATGGTCACTGAATTTCGTTTAGTGTTACTACTTCATAATCGAACTTTAAACTGTATCTCAATGGTTATCGAACTTTGCACCATGTTATCCATCCGTCACTCAAATAGAAAAATCTGTTAAGTCTAACAAACGACGTCAAAGTTTAGTAACCATTAAGATATATTTTTAAATTGAATTAGTAAGCCCTTGTTTGAGTCTCATTCTTTCGTGATTTGATATCATTCAATCACATATTTTTCAATAAAATAATATTACACGCAAATTCAAAATTTTTCTTTATTTTTTAACTACACATTTTCCATCAATATACAATTCAAAAATTCATTTTATAACTCAAAATGGGGATCAAACAAGGGCTAAGCTTCTCAAATTGACCTCTATGAAAAGAAGAAATCAAAGATAATAAAGGGAAAAAAGAGAAAACAGAAATCAGAGACCTATAAATTAAATAAAAATAGAATTGTTGCTAATATTCATCCATCAAGTTGACCTCGTTTGTTGGACTTAACGGATTTTTCCATTTGAGTGACGAATAGATAACACGGTGCAAAGTTCGGTAACCATTGAGATACATTTTAAAGTTCGGTTATGAAGTAGTAACGCTTGACGAAATTCAGTGACCATTGAGTTGCATTTTTAAGTTCAGTGACTAAGTAGTAATATAGGGCAAAGTTCAGTGACCATTTATATAATTAACCCGCAGTTAAATTGGAGGAAGTTTCAGTTCTGTTTCGAAGATATTAAAGTTAAAATGGAATATCAAAGAAGTTGATCTGATCCTCGCTCCGTCAAGGCCGGTCTACAGTTTCTGGTTGGCAGGATCGCCAATATCGCCAATACTTGAAGAAAGGCCGCTATTTATTGGAGCTCCGGTTTATATGGCTGCTGTCCTCAAGTACCTTGCTGATGAGGTATAAAAACTCTTCTCAACTCAATATTTGCACGCATTCCAAATTTCATATAGATTATTGCTGTAAAGGTAATTTTTTGTTGAATTATTATGTACCTCATGAGTTTTGTTCAATCCTTAGCTTTGTGGCAAGTTAACTGGTACTAATTAATTAGAGAAGAACAGTAATTGAACTATAGTATTAAAATTCCTCTTTGATTTCAGTTGGTTTTTATGAATTACACGAGCCAATATCTCTTTATTGTGTGGATGATTACCTTGGGAGAGATTAGATTAAGCACTTGGATTTAGGGTTTTTTAATTGACGTGGCTGTTTTTTGTTCCTTTGTTTGTTTATAGCATTTGGTAGGTTCTTTATTTTCTCATTGTAAATGTTCTACGTCGACAAAGACTACTTAGAGATCCCGAAGTCATGACTTCTTACAGGTGATCACCTTTCTCCTTTTCGCATAATTACTCTCTCTCTTTCTTCTGGTTAAAGGTTGCAATATTGTTGCTACTTGTAAACTTGGAGTCCTTGAGAACATTTTTTGGCTAAGCTCAAAAATAAGATATTTACTTTTAACTTTTTTTGTTCCCAAACATGTTTGGATAAATTTTTTTTTTCTTGCTTTTAAGTAGAAAAAAGTTACTTATTTTGAAATTATCACTTACCTTGATGTCTAAAAATTAACTCATTTCAATATTGATCAGAAAAGAAGTTCTGTATTTTAAAACTTATTTACTCCTTACAATTGAACTTTCTAAGCTTAGCAGACATCTTTTATTTCTTTCTTTCGTAATTTTATTGTCGTTTTGTCTCATTCTTTCAACTTAATATATGATAGGGAATTGTCAAAGAAAGCACAGAAAGCAAATAACTTAGGGTGGCGTTTAAGCTGTTTGCTCGGGGATCAAAATCGCTTGTTTATGTATATTTTGCTTCAAGCTGTATTCACGGTGGCAACTATGGCACGTACGGTCCCCATATTCTTGTCTTACGATTTGCATGTCATTTTCCAAATACTCAAAAGTTTCTGCATCCGTATGGAACGGAGGAAACTTCCTACTCGAAGTGATGCCACGGCAAGTCATTCTCAAAGAGAAGAAGAAAATCGAGATGCACCCTATTGAGAAACCACGAGATCAATCAGCACTCGAGAACTCAATGGACGCAAATAATTCTTCTGCAATACTCAAATCTTAGCAGGTGTGCACAAATAAATTGTCTTGTAAAACTGTTTTCTCTTTCTCTGATGTCTGTTGGTGTGAACGTAGGCTGATTTATTTGCTTTGCTCTAAAGAAATTTCCTTTTTCTACATGCTATATATTTTGATATGGCCTGATTTATAAACTAGGTGAAATGAAATGTGAAATTATGCTTCCTTTTCAAGTCTTGGAATTGGAACTTAATTTGAAGACTTGATAAGTTGCTAGATTTAAGGATTCATGCTGGACTCTGGTATTGTGATAATTGTTTAGAAGCATCTGCTTATATATGCTGTTTTTGGCCATTTATGGCAGATAAGACAGACGGCTTTTTATTAGTAGATCACTTCGACTTATGACTTTTGATCACTTTATTATGTTTTATTATTTTCCTCTGTGTTTTTGTCTTCAACCTTGCAATGCACAAGGTTGTGTAGAGCAGTTTGTCATAGCGGGATAATGTGCTGACAGAGACCAATTTTGACCTATAAAAGAAAAGAGGAAGTAAGGAGTTACAAAGATATACTAAGTTACTGATTTCCACCTTGGTCACATTCTCTCAAGATATATCGAATTGTACAATTAAAGACTTGTATTTTCTATTTAAGATCCGTTTTTGGAAAATCAAAAGTTGTTTCAGAAATTAAGAAACTACTTTTGAACCAATGAGGACAATTTTTTGAAGGTGTTTTCTCTTATTAGAAAAGCTTTTAAAAGAAAATTGTTTAAGGTAACTTTCTTGAGAAGTTCTTCTGTAAGAAGCAGAAGCAAAAGCAAAAGCAAAAGTTAAAGCTATGCCTAAAGGGTCCGTATGATTATTGTTATTTTTTCGTTTTTGGTGGAACTTAGAATTTAATAAATTCGAGTAAAGTAATGTTTCTATTCGGCATCAATTTGTGTCACATTGAAAGATGGATTCAATTAAACGGGTCTTAGATTCTTAACATTTAATGGAACATATCATTTAAGCCCCGTTTGGCCCCCATTCTTAACAGAAGGCTTTTTATTAGTAGATCACTTCGACTTATGACTTTTGATCACTTTATTATGTTTTATTATTTTCCTCTGTGTTTTTGTCTTCAAACTTGCAATGCACAAGGTTGTGTAGAGCAATTTGTCATTGCAGGATAATGTGCTGACAAAGACCAATTTTGACCTGTAAAAGAAAGAGGAAGTAAGGAGTTACAAAGATATACTGAGTTACTGATTTCCACCTTGGTCACATTCTCTCAAAATATATCGAATTGTACAATTAAAGACCTGTATTTTCTATTTAAGATCTGTTTTTGGAAAATCAAAAGCTGTTTCAGAGATTAAGAAACTACTTTTGAACCTATGAGGACAATTTTTTGAAGGTGTTTTGTCTTATTAGAAAAGCTTTTAAAAGAAAATTGTTTAATGTAACTTTCTTGAGAAGTTCTTCTGTAAGAAGTAGAAACAAAAGCAAAAGTTAAAGCTATGCCAAAAGGGTCTGTATCATCATTGTTATTTTTTTTTGTTTTTGGTGGAACTTAGAATTTGATATATTCGAGTAAAGTAATGTTTTTATTCGGCATCAATTTGTGTCACATTGAAAGATGGATTCAATTAAACGGGTCTTAGATTCTTAACATTTAATGGAACATATCATTTAAGCCCCGTTTGGCCCCCATTCTTGACAGAAGGCTTTTTATCAGTAGATCACTTCGACTTATGGCTTTTGATCACTTTATTATGTTTTATTATTTTTCTTCTGTGTTTTTGTCTTCAACCTTGCAATGCACAAGGTTGTGTAGAGCAGTTTGTCATAGCAGGATAATGTGCTGACAGAGACCAATTTTGACCTGTAAAAGAAAAGAGGAAGTAAGGAGTTAACAAAGATATACTGAGTTATTGATTTCCACCTTGGTCACATTCTCTCAAGATATATCGAATTGTACAATTAAAGACCTGTATTTTGTATTTAAGATCTGTTTTTGGAAAATCAAAAGTTGTTTCAGAGATTAAGAAACTACTTTTGAACCTATGAGGACAATTTTTTGAAGGTGTTTTCTCTTATTAGAAAAGCTTTTAAAAGAAAATTGTTTAATGTAACTTTCTTGAGAAGTTCTTCTGTAAGAAGTAGAAACAAAAGCAAAAGTTAAGGCTATGCCAAAAGGGTTTGTATCATCATTGTTATTTTTTTGTTTTTGTTTTTGGTGGACCTTAGAATTTGATATATTCGAGTAAAGTAATGTTTCTATTCGGCATTAATTTGTGTCACATTGAAAGATGGATTCAATTAAATGGGTCTTAGATTCTTAACATTTAATAGAACATATCATTTAAGCCCCGTTTGGCCCCCATTCTTAACAGAAGGCTTTTTATCAGTAGATCACTTCGACTTATGGCTTTTGATCACTTTATTATGTTTTATTATTTTTCTTCTGTGTTTTTATCTTCAACCTTGCAATGCACAAGGTTGTGTAGAGCAGTTTGTCATAGCAGGATAATGTGCTGACAGAGACCAATTTTGACCTGTAAAAGAAAAGAGGAAGTAAGGAGTTAACAAAGATATACTGAGTTATTGATTTCCACCTTGGTCACATTCTCTCAAGATATATCGAATTGTACAATTAAAGACTTGTATTTTCTATTTAAGATTCGTTTTTGGAAAATCAAAAGTTGTTTCAGAGATTAATAAATTACTTTTGAACCTATGAAGACATTTTTTTGAAGGTGTTTTGTTTTACTAGAAAAGCTTTTAAAAGAAAATTGTTTAATGTAACTTTCTTGAGAAGTTCTTCTGTAAGAAGCAGAAGCAAAAGCAAAAGCAAAAGCAAAAGTAAAAGCTATGCCAAAAGGGTACGTATCATCATTGTTATTTTTTCGTTTTTGGTGGAACTTAGAATTTGATATATTTGAGTAAAGTAATGTTTCTATTCAACATCAATTTGTGTCATTGAAAGATGGATTCAATTAAACGGGTCTTAGATTCTTAACATTTAATGGAACACATCATTTAAGCCTTGTTTGGCCCCCATTAATATTGATTATAATGTGGAGAATAGTATTTTCTTGAAAAATGGATGATTGTAAAAGAATGAAAAATTTTTGATTTACGTGTAATTTTATTTTATTGAAAATTGTGTGATTGAAAATAAGAGAGAAAAAAGTAAATTTAATTTGATGAGATTTAATGGGGGCCAAACTGGGGTTTGATTCGGTCTCACATCATTGGTTATACGGTTTCAGTTTACATATTTGATCGGATGAAAATTATAGTGTACCTTATGTTTACTACCAGAATGGAGTGTTTAGGAAGAGGCATATGAGAACGAGCTTGCTTATCTTAAGAAAAATGTTGTTCCATTCTCCCTGAAATATTAGTAATTATATTTGAATGAAAGAATGTGAATATGTGATGATTAGAATTTCATATTCCCATTTTAATGGACTTTCCTACTTCAGGTTGATGCTGGAAATTGCTGAAATATTACACTGATTTATCCTATTGAACCCGTGAGTTTGGACATTTATCTGTTGTTAATTTGCTCACATTTACTTGTCAAAGCTATAAGTTAGATAAATGTGGGTTTTCATTTCACAAAGAAAGAAATGTCTAATGGATGTTGCACTAAATAAGCGTCCAACAATTTACATCTATTTTATTCTCGGATAAAAGTGGGCTGTAAAGTTGGTTGGCTATTTTCCTTTCCAACTCCATGATTCTTTCTTTTAATTAATATATATTCTTGGGTTTGAGCAGGGCCTGCGAGCACATTGTTCTTGTTCACTACAGAGATATTGGGGCGGTGAGCCTTCCTGAGCCTAATTATGGAGAAAGTACATAAACTGATTTCACTTACCAGTACATTTATTCTTTTTCCCTTTTTCAGTTTCTTTTTCTTTCTGTAGTCTATAGTAATTGAAATGCCCCTATGACACACATCCATACAGTTCTGTTTTGAATTTATAATTTTCTATTGTTTTGTTTTCTACTTAGTAGAACTCACCGCTTTTCACAATAGGTTGCAGTGACTTAACTGACAGCTTTAAGCAAAATTGCTATTCTGTTTGAATTAAATTTGGGGGTGAGTTGATTTTCTTAAGAGCCTGATTTAAATATTTAATTTTCAGAGTGGAGTGATTGGTGTTTCTAGATTCCCAGGATAGTGTATTAAAAAAATGTTGAACCCCAACCTCGAGGGCCCACCGTCCCGTCCTTGGAGTATCGTAAGAGAAGTAAATCGCGGGACGTACCCCAGTAGGCTAGGGAACAAGTGCTTGCCCGTACACTGGTGCCCACAAAGAATTCAATTCCATATCTCAGAAATCGAATTCTCACACTACGACTGTCAGCAAGACTGAGATTATCTCACTCCTGTCCTTTGCACCATTGGATTATGCCCCGAGGGGCTCTTAGGATAGTGTATATTTCACTTCTTTCCTTGTCAATGTGATGATCTTAATGGCAAAAGATAACGAGGATGAATTGCACTTATAAAGCAACATCGAGCAACTGTGCGGCTAATAAATTAAAGTTTGATGACTAATATGAATCAAGCTTATAAATTAGAGTTTGATGACCAATATTGAACCACTTGATTCTTCTCCAACTGCTCCTCTAAAGTTTAAACTAACGTAATTAGGTTCCTAACATGAACAACTTTAATCTAAACAAATAATTAGCTAAAATGTGCCGAGCAGGAGCAATTAACTCTTCATTTAAGCTCCTAAAACACACATCCTAATATAAAAGAAAAATCATTAAAACATTGTTTATATTAGTTAAGAATACATTTATAACGAAATGTTCAATGCAATTAATTCCAAATGTTCATATGAAAAATCGTAAATATACGAAATAGACGACAAGTAAGTTTATTCAAACTAACACTAACTCATGAATATCTTTCACGTTTACGAATGAATTTTTCTAAAATTTACATATATTTATTTTCAACATTAACCAATTAACGTTAAAAATATTATTCTTTCTAAATTTAGGCCATCATCAAACTTTCTGACTACTTCAAAATTTATCTAAAAATCTATCTCAAAGCTTCCATATTGTAAAAAATATTATTCTTCTCACTGCAGTGTATCAAACAAAAATGGATATGTCACATTGCTTCTTCACAATTATCACTCCTTCATTAAACCATAACATCCGTCTGGTAACTTATATAATAATTTCTTCTTTTAAATTTGTATAAATGCTTTATTGATATACCACTTATATTTTTTTATATGTATACACATAGATGCTTTCTAGATCTTTTGTCAATTACTGGAGATACGAACTAGGTGATATAGTACGATTAACTGCATACAATATATAATTGTCATAATACGATTAGAAAGAATCGATGGAAAAAAAATATCGGGCTAATGGATGTGAGTAATTTTTCGACCATCATAACTTATGGGATGATTATATTGTGGAATTTGAATATAATGAAAATTTCACATTCAATATGAGGATATTTGATCATTCTAGATCAGAGATTACATCACTCCGATATTGAAGAAGAGGACGAGGACGCTTCACATATGGATAATCCCGCATTCGAAGTAACACTAACATTCAATCACAACAATCATCGGAAAATTGTAGGTGTTATCTTTAATACATCATTCTATATTTACTTCTTTCACATAATTTTGATTTTAACATTAGTAAATCATTCATCTATGTTTTCTACTCTATACCAAGAAGGTTTGTAAGACACCATCTGCCAAAACATGTGTGCAGTGTTCAAACCCATGACTCTTTACATCATAACTGGGATATCACCATAAATTCAAGATCAAACGGTGTAATACAACATCTTACTGTTGGCTGGGCAGATTTTCTGAGAGAAAAAAAGAACTACAAATTAGCGATGATTGTGTTTTTGAACTATTAAATAGCGAATCTTCAATGTTTATTAGCTAGTTAAAAAAAAAAAATACCAATGGAAGTTTAACACGCCTATAAAACTTTTTTACTTAACTATATTCGCGCACAAAAAAAATGTTTGATTTTTATGTTCATTCATTTCACTTTCTCTAGCAGTTAACTGTCTCAAAAATGTTTTCATAGAAATTACACTTTTTCCTCTCTTTACGATTCAAAAATACCGCAACTTTTCTAACTAAAACATGACATTCATCTTCTTCCAAACTATTCCACTACATTACACCAATATATATATATAGTTACACCTATACATTTGTCGAATATATCCATCAACAACCATCGCATTCTTATATTTCATATTCACCCACTAACGTGCAACTCACGTTTCCTTACTAGTAGAGATAAAAATCCGAACCGAGAACAAGAAGTTTCTATTTTTTTTTCCCCATGTTTGATTTTGCTAAAAATTAAATTTTTAATAAATCTTGATAAAGTAAAACAAAATATGTGATTTGAAAATTGATAAAAATTGTAAATTTATCATTTTTATTATTAAAATTAATTATTTACTTTGACTTTATAACATTTTTAACTAAAATAATAGGGACTAAGATGAAAATGTAAAAACTTTGACCCCAGCTTCAGTAGATACTTCAGAAACTTAGTTGAGATACTTCAAGAGCTTAGTCGTATTATGATTTCATTTGTACTCTACAAGGTCACCTCCAGTGCTACACCAACTTTTGCACAATTTTGCACCAAATTTTACATCAAATCTTGTACCAAATTAAAATTCATCTCCAACCATTACACCAAAATTTACACCAAATGAACAGTATTTAACTATTTTCTTCCCTTTTTTATTCTTAATAATTTATTTATTTGAAATATTATTCATATAATTACTTTATAAATACATAAAGTACTAAATAAATAATTACGTTAAATTACGAAAAAAATTAAATTCATTAATAAATATAAAAAAAAAACATAGTACAATTAATAAAAAATTACAACAATGAAAATATTAAATCATGCCATTAAAAAAAAGTGCAATGCATTTCGAATTAGGATATTACGATATTACGAAGTAGAAATGTTGTTGAAATTTAATTCTGGGAATTCATATTGTTTTCTTTAAATAAAATTAGATTATCGTATGTATGTCGTCGTTTAATATATTTCGTTTTAACTTTAAGAAATAATCGTGTTTGTTATATTAATTTTTTTCTTCTTTTAATTAATTCATTAATTATTATTTTTTATATTTAAAATTTATTATAAATGCAAATAGTAATATTAATAATTTATTGAATTAAAAAATTTATAGCACAAATAACAAAAATACCCTTAATCAATTTGTTTGGAAAATGAAAAACAAGGGCAAAAATGATATTATACACTTTGCACCATTTGCACCAAAATGGTGCAAAGTTTGGTGCTACATTCGAGGAAATTTGAACTAAAATTTGGTGCATTTTGGTGAAATGGTGCATACATTGGAAACGGCCTAAGTACTTTATAATATATTTCAATGAAGTGATAAGAAACGAATGTACTATAATTGCAAGAGAAGTATGACAGAGATACGAGGAATGAAGTCAAGAAGAACCTAGTTGAGGCAATCACAAGACAAACTGATCAAATCATGGAACCTTTAAAATATTCTTAAATTTGACTACGAATATGATGTTCAATTAAAAATGTACAATATTTCTATTTGGAGACTGGTTCATTCTTTCATATAAAGCACGTGTACAAAATAAGTCGAAAGTAAGCAACAAGTTAACGAACCAGTATTCCTCCTCGTGTTTGCATAGTCAAAATGTAATCTGCAAAACCCCCCATTGTATCAATATGGAGATATATCAGCAATTACCTCACCAGATGGTTTCACTCAATATCCAATTCAGTTTGGTATCTCAGTGTCAAAGTTTCAATGGCTAGGCAAAAGAATAGATTGTGAAAATGATGCTGTCCCATTGTTAGGAGCTCCTGTAATGTTGAGGATGGATGTAACCAAGTTATATATCTGAACATTCTCGAAAGAAGGGACCTTTCTCCCCCGAGCAAATTGAGGTCCATGACCAATAAAAATGGACCTCATGGAGAAAATTGCATTGTCATATCCATGCGATCCTCCACATTCTTGCCTTTTGGATCTCTTCTGTTCTACCTTAAAACCTTCTTCGATTAAGCCTATAATTGGTGGGATTCGATCGCTGTTTGAATAATGCAGTCGACTAGGAAGCTCCTCCTTTAGGTAAACTCTCAAATACTGACCATTATCTACTTTCCCCGACTTCAAGCCCTCGTTCATCTTGGCCACAATATCGTTTGGTTGAGAACCGGGTGGTGGACGAATTGCAAGCAATGGACTGTAAGATTGCACCCACTCCTTCGGAATCTCAATCCATTGAGCCAAATCATCCAGAAAGATTAACTTTTTATCACAGGTACCAACCATCCCATGATCACCAACCATGATGATATTCACATCCTCAAAAACACCTTTCGATTCTAAACCACGAATTAATCTGCCGATCATCTTATCGATTCTAGCAACTGCCTCAGTAATCTGAGGATCATCAGGCCCAACCTTATGACCCTGACGATCAGGATCTTCAAAGTATAACGTCATAAACACAGGAATCTCACTATCAGGCAAATCGAAGTACTTCAAAATAGTATCAACTCTCTCTTCAAAAGGCACAGAACTATTATAATACATGCAATAATCCTTGGGACAATTCCAAGAACCTTTTTTTACCTCAGAACCGGGCCAGAAATAAGTCGAAGCCTTCAAGCCATGATTCGTGACTGTCTCCCACATCGGCTCTCCCAGCCACCAGTTGGGATCATGACTGGCCATAGTGAAGGCACCACCTGTGTCTGGATCGAGAAAATAATTGTTGATTATTCCATGATAAGCAGGATACAAACCCGTGACAATTGAGTAATGGTTCGGAAAGGTCAGCGATGGAAACACTGGAATCAAGCCCAACTCGGCTTCGGTACCATTTACAATCAATCTGTTGATATTTGGAGTGTGGGTCTTGAATTGGTACCCGAATCGAAAACCATCTGATGATATTAACAAAACAACTGGGTGCTTGAGCTTTGTGAGTGGCCTTGAGACTTGATCAAGGGATTGAGAAGTTGCTGATGGTGATGATGAAGCCAAAGAGGAGAAGAATAAAAAGGCAAAGGCAAAAGCAGCGGAGAGAGCAATGCCTGTGGAAAGAATTAGACAAATGAATAGAACCTTATTGGTCGATTCTTCGGATGACGGGGAGATCAAGGAGGAAGATTCCGTGTCGAAGGGCAAAAGAGCAGCGGTTGAATTTGGTAACTCGTCTTCCTCTTTGGATGGAATTGGTGCAGGCTTTAAATTAGATATTGAATCTGAAGTCATGACAAATTTGCTAACACCCAGAACACCCTTTTAATCAAGATTCTTGGATCAGGTTATTTTCGTGCGAAAACATGAAAATTCAAGTAGAATTCATAAGTGTTTGCAGATACGAAGAATCTGAATCCAGGGTTTTTAAGATTTAATCTTTTTGTTCTCTCCCTGTCCTCTCTGTGACTGGGGGAGAGAGGATGAGATAGAAAAGGGTAAACCGGTAGCTGATAGGTAGCTGTTGGGGAAGGTAAGTGGTGGAGTCAAAACGAAGGGTATATGGCCGAAATTATTCTCGTATGTAGGCTGGTTGTCTTAAATTGAACGAAACATCAGCGGTTATACCTACAGTCTGTCAACGAAAAGTAACGTGAATAGAGAAGGACAATTTATCTTCCAAAACAATTTGATGAATGTGGGCGGGATGATCGCATTGAGTTAATTGTTCCAATAATCACTATAATTTCGATTACTTGCTCAAATTTAAAATATTGAGTTTTGACCATTAAACTCATACAAATATTGAATGTTACTCAATGACATAATATCCATTTCAAACATCTAACGAAATTGGTGACGTTACTAATGGAATGAAAATGTGGCGCTCCATCACGCCATTACCATATTGTCGTGTAAGAAAGTGTCTTTCATTACTAACTTTAAAAACGTCTTCGATTGGTTATTTTACTTTGAAAATGCCTTCTATTACTCCCTAAAACTTTGAGGTGATCAAATTTTGGTCACTAAATTTATAAAAATGACGTTGGTCTATTGTTCGCTAAAAAATGTATACCGCAAGTGCACGTGTCACGTACAAGTAATAAAGTTGACAACCGAGTTCAAGTTGTCAATCTCATGAGAAATGAGTACTCTATCATCCAATAGTATCTTATGTTAGTGATCTTTCATTATTTTAGTAGAATTTTAAGTAGTTTTCATCATTTGCAAAATTCAAATTTATTGTGTTTCATTGTTAAAATTAAAATTAATTATTGTGCAATTGAGTAATCAATTCATGTGAGATCGACAATTTGGACTTGTTTGTTTACTTTATTACTTGTACGCGATACGTGCACTTGCGGTACACATTTTTTAGCAAACACTTCATTTTTACAATTTTAGTGACCAAAATTTGACCACCTTAAAATTTAGTTAGCAATCGAAGACACAAACATAAGGTGATTAATGGGACAATTAACTCGATTGCATTCATTCTGTTATTTTATTGAGTAATTCCATTTTCTTTGGTGACTATTTTATTTCTCTTTTCTGATTTTGCTGCTGTTGTTACTTTTGGCAATTATAGCTACACATATGGACACTTGCTTTTCATGATCAGAACTAATATCTATTTTACTATTCGATAGCTAAAAATTCAATGCTTAAATATAAGTTTGAGATGTCGAAGTAGACAACTCATCATCACTATGATATTTCACATTAGAATTCTTATAGTGATGGTTTCATAAGACAAAGAATCTCAAACTACAACACTCAATCATCCTCATTAATTTAGGAAAAATTAGGTTCACTGTCTAATCTTTCGATTAATGTTGGTTTTTCTAATAAAGCACCATCACAGCTTCAACGTAATTTTTAGGCTCCACTAAATAAAGACAAAGGGTGTTAGGATTCCCCCTATCATATATAGTCGGAATATAAGGGTGCATGCTCTTTCCCGTTTTTTGGTCATTTTCTGTTTTCGGTTTTTCAAAACAGTGAAAACGCGTTCTCTTCCCTGTTTTCGAAAACACATTTTCGAAAACACAAAAAAAAAAAAAAAAATTGTGAAAAAAAAACAAAACGACCAAAATGTCGTTTTGGCTGTTTTCTGTACAAAACTCGAAAAAAAAAAAAAAATTGTGAAAAAAACACAAAACGACCAAAATGTCGTTTTGGCTGTTTTCTGTACAAAACTCGAAAAAAAAAAAAAAATTGTGAAAAAAACACAAAACGACCAAAATGTCGTTTTGGCTGTTTTCTGTACAAAACTCGAAAAAAAAAAAAAAATTGTGAAAAAAACACAAAACGACCAAAATGTCGTTTTGGCTGTTTTCTGTACAAAACTCGAGAAAAATACAAAACACGGAAAACACATTTTGAAACACAAAACCAAATCTCATCACTTTCTTCCAACCATTCTCTGCCTTCTATCTCTCCTGGACGTCGGCTGTGGATGATCGACTCCGGCTATGGATGGTCGCACACTTCAATTGGTGACGAAGGAGATGCACCGGCGCCAACTTGGGGACGCGACGCTGCTGTGAACGCAGTGTGGGGACCCATTCATCGAGACCCAAGGGAGGCGACACTGCTGTGGTTTGGGCCCATCTCTGTCGGCAGTCGAAGAGAGGGAAGCTGCAGTTCATCGCGATGGGGATTTGACGGCGATAGGTCACCTGCAAATTTGTCCAAAATCTGCCTTCTCTCTCTTTTGGGCATTTTTTTGTTTTTTGGATCTGGGAGGCAATGGGTGTTGATGGTGGCGGTGGCGGTATTAATGTAATGGTGTGGTTGATGGTTGGTGGCGGCAGTGGTGTTGATTTTGGTCGATGGTAATGGTGTGGTTGTATTTGCCGGCGGTGGTTGACGGTGATGGACCTGGTGGTAAACACATTTTCCAAAATTTCAAAGAATTTCATAGTGAACATATTTTCCATTTTTCTGTTTTTAGAAGCGTTTCTCAAAATGTTAAAAAAAAAAAGGTATTTTCAACAATTTCAAAATACACACTCAAAACACAAAACTAAAACAGGAAGATAACACACCCTAAATGAATACAAAGGAGAGAGCGTAAATCTGACCTCTAATCAAAAGCATAAAAGATAAAACAATAAATGAGAAGAGACTAGCCCTCTACAAATAGAAATAATGAAATAATAAAGTCTAAAGACGTACGAACATAGAAAAGTCATATCTATCCATCTATTCAAGGACAAAGTTGCCAAGGCAAGTCAGGAGTCAGGATAATATCGTCTTTGCATCTCTTTGTTGTGAGTTAGCAACCTAGTTTTCCCTCATATTAGATGTGAAAAATTGTGTTATGGTCGAAGGAAATTAAATGCCTAATATGTCTGAGAGTAGCCTAGATAGACCACGTTCCTCCATCATGAGTGGTGCAACGATCGGCTAGAGAGGAGTTCACCTACATTTTTAAGCCCAAAAGTCCAAGTCGACGACAAGAATGAAATGCAGCTCCACCTCGTGATATGGCAATCACTATAAGATGAGAAGAATGCATGAATACAAAGTTCAGACTAATATCATGATATCCTCATCGTTAACAAAGTCATCTTGACGCACCATATGCTTGATTAAACTTTAATAGATTGAATTGCTTATTTATGTCTTACAGCTTGAAATTCCATCTTAAGAAATCATAATCCAAACTTTTATGTATGAAATTAGCAATTTTAATATTTACCCTGTTTGAGTTCTCTATTCTTTTAAAAAATAAACTTGAATTGATTTTCAATTATACATTTTCAATAAAATAAATTCAAACATACTCTTCGTAACAGCTCAATTCAGTGTAGAATTTGACCACAATTGTTCCCCGTTTGAGCCCCATATTTAACAAAGCATGAGTTTTATAATAATTTTTTTTTTTTTAAGATTGTATGATTAAAGTACAAAAAAGTTTTAAATTTACATGCTAATTATTTATTTGAAGAATGTCTAATTAAAAATGAATTCGAAAAAGAGAAAAAAAATGTATTTTGAGATTATGGAGCTCAATGGTGAAATATTCAAGAGGAGGCTCCGTTCTTCCTTTATTTGGAGATAATGGAGTTCCAATGGGAAGTGCCCTTTTCGAACAAATTTCGTCGTCAGATAAAATGCAATTGCACACGGTTCACGAATGGAATTAGGCTTTATGAGAAACGATGTTGTATAACTACTTCGTCTTTACAAAGAGGCTACTGATACTATTACTCCATGTATTAAGTTAGCCATCAGAAAGCGCCACGTGGAATATTCACTAATGTCATCAGAAGAGTCAACCCAAAACATACAAAGAGACGAAGTAATAAGATTACAAATTGGCTCCAGAAGTCGAAGTCCTTGTTCTGGCCGATGTGCCATTTAACCAGATGGGTACTGAAGCCCTAACGAAAGGTTTGTACCGAAATCCTCATATTCACAACTAGCCAAGGTTCTAAAAGATGAAGTCGAAGTCCTTATTATGGTCAAGGTGCCATTTAACCAGATGGGTACCGAAGCCCTAACGAAGGGTTTGTGCCGAAGTCCAAAGAGGCAAAAGAGGTTGCCACGTTTGCTAACTTGAGAGGAAATCCTCCCAATGGTCACTGAACTTTGCAGAAAATCTCCTAGGAGGTCACCGAACTTTAATACATCCCTGAATGGTCATTGAACTTTTTCGAAGTCCCACAAGAGGTCAACGAACTTCAAAACATTCCTGAATGGTTACTGAACTTTGCAAAAAGTTCCTGGCAGGTCACTAAACTAGTTATGTATGGGGTTCCAATTCACAACGTTGAATGACCTCTCTAGAGGATTTCGGCAAAGTTCAATGACCATTTAGGGATGTTTTAAAGTTCGGTGACTTCTTGGAGGACTTTGGCAAAGTTTAATGACTATTTAGGGACGTATTGAAGTTCGGTGACCTCTTAGGGGATTTTTTGCAAAGTGCAGTGACCATTGGGAGGATATCCTCGCTAACTTGACGAATATCTTTGTGAAAGACTAATTAAACCTCTAATTTATCTTACGTCAGGAATATCAACCTAGAGGTATAGGGCAGCTGGCTTTCTATCAATGTAATAAATGTATGTATTAGAAGGATGTGATGTATAAAAGAAGGGGGTAGGGGCACGTGATTTGGATTCAATGGCCACTACGCCTTCCCCAAACTCTATATATAACCTCCTCTTAGAAAAAGGTGGGAGAAGGAAAAAAAGGATAGAAACAACACGTATAGAAGGAGAGGGAAAAAAAACCCCTGGAAAGAAGAATAAGTAACAGGTACAAAAATTTTTGGCACATTTTTGGAGAGGAAAATAAATATAACTCCATATGTCTCTTGCCGTTTGATTGTGTTCCTATCTTGCTCCCTTTTATCATTTAATTGCAAAAGTTGTAATGGTGTTTGGGTGAGATTATCACTATTTGTGTGAGAGCTTTTCGGTCACTTCGCCGGCTTTGAACTGCTTAGTCTCGCATCAAATAAGCATCTCCTGTATCCATTCTATCATCCGATCAAATCAACGATCCAAACGCATTGAAATTTGCCCACATGGACGCAAGTGGGCTTGGTATCTATTGGTGTCATTTTCGAATGTCAAAAGATT